TTTTACAACGGTTATCCTTCGACACGCCTAGGTTATTGATTTCCAAGGAGCCGTTCACACTATATTAATCTATATTTAGAAATGGAAGCAATACATAATAATTACATGATGTCAAAATTATAAAGATATCACACATTAATTAAACACCTATTACTAGTTATAAAAGATATAAAACCATGCAAAACTGACTGGCCTTAGTTACATTTACATTTAATGTTTAATACGATCAAGCGCAGTCTTAAATGGCCTAATTGTGGCATCACTTGTTTTTACACATCTCGGTAAATTATTCCATGTTTTAGCACCATTATAGCAGATGCTTTTTTTTCATAAAATTTGTTTTAGGCTTTTGTAGAGTAAACTCGTTTCCGTTGCTACGTAAATTATAATTAATGTTATTTTTAATTTCAAACAAGTTCATCAAATTCTCTGGTAATTCATTTCTCTTCGCTTTGTACATAAATACTAAACTACTTTTTCCCCAATGACCAGCTAGGGGTTTCCAATCCAGCTCCCTCAAAATTTCGTTTGAAGGTGTCTCGTATAATCTGCCAGTTGACCCTTGCTGCCCTGTTTTGTATTTTCTGCAACTTACTGATCAGCTGATCACTACAATTACTCCATACAAAGCTGCAATAGTCAAAATATGGTAATACTAACGCATTGTACACCTTAATCAAAGTTGTTTTGGGGACACAGTTCTTTAGTCGTCGTAGCATACCTATACCTTTTGCTTTTGATATCAACTTTGCCTGAAATAGCTTCAATTTGATTTTTCTAAAGTAGTTGCTCATCAATAATTATGCCCAATGATTTTGCGTGCTTAAGTAGATTATGTTGTCTTTGAACAAATTACATTCACGACGCAACGTTGCCACACGCCGGGGGGCCCCACACCAGTCTAGGATTTTCGTCAGCGTGCATATAGTCAGTTTACGTGGGGTGTTTGATAAGTCTATCATACACCATCAACAACTTTTTGCTCAAAGGGGTTGTTTTCCAGAAGCATGGAGTATTAATACTTATCATCATTTTTGCATGGACTAAGGCTTTGGGGACTATGTAGACACATTCATGTTGCTGGACTGTAGTTTTGGTCATTAATATAAATTGATGCAAACCCAAATGCAAACTCAAATGCACTGCAATACAGAGAGTGTATAAAAGAAGTAATCCATATTTTACACGCTATCATGCGTTAGGTATTACGTTTATATAGATTTCCTGTTTTCATATACTTATAAAGATATCATACATTTTGCAGTAAAATGACTGCGCCATTTTTGTGCAGATCAAAATGGCCGAAAATACTCACCAAACATTTTTTAAGCAAAACGTAAGTGCTGTTCGTAAGAGGTATTTCACTTGTTTTTAAGAGACGATTATATGCGAAACGGCCACGCAGGGACGAAACTTTAAATTCTTGTTCTACCATTTGTTATGCAGATTGAATCATTGTGAGATAATTTCATAATCATAATAACTTTGCTGGTCAACAGAGGAATTGCCTAAAATAATTTTATCGTGTTCCTACAAATGACATTAATATATTCAGTCGCATTCTCAACGGACTGAATTACTCAAATTGCTTTCTGGCTACGCTTTTTCCGTGTGATAAATATGCAAGATGAATATTTAATTCATACTAAACCCCATCGTATTTTTCACGCATGGCTTTTATCTTTTACCTCTGCCGGCGGATATGCAACCTCAATGCAATAAGCTGGATATAAGATAAACAATATAGGACCTAACACTGATCCTTGTCAGACACCACTTCTAAAAGTCTTTTCCTTTACAATTTGTTTTCTATATTAGATAAATAATTTTCGAACCATTTTTTGCCCACATCCAATCCTTTATACCATGCATAATGATCTGTTTGATGTTTTGTTAATATATTGTTTCTGTCTATAAATTTTGTCAGTCTCCCAACCATAAACCCTTTCCCTTACTAAAATTTCTTTGATATCTTGCGTCTTTGATATCTTTGATATCTTGACTATCTTACATTTTTCCAAATGTATATTTGTGTCAAATCAAGGCCGCTGAGAGGAGGGAGGGGGGGGGGGAGAATACACGGGGCTCGGAGTGCTCTGAGGGAAATCTCGGTAAATGTTCGTATCGTTTATCATTGCTTTATATTTGTCCTAAATGAAATACGTCTATACTTGTACAGTACCCGCTGATCGTCGCGATCGATCGTAAAACGTACCAAATGTGAAATAAACAACGATTTTTCGATCGTTTTCTCAGCAAAAACAGTTAGCTGAACATCGTTCTATTGCATTTTTATCAGTTATGCGGTGATTTTTTGCAAACAATTCGCTGGTAATTCTCTCGTTGATTGCGATTAAAAATAGACTTTGGCGTGGTCATGCGCCAGCGGGAGAGTCGAGAGGGACAGGGGGAACATGTTCAACAATTCGCCATTTTGTTCCGGGGCCCGTAGTTGGCTCTCCCCGGCCTGATGTCAAACATATGCTAGTCAGCTTGGGTATATAAAAAAACTACATAGTTCGAAAATGTCCGCTAAACTGCAAATTCCGCCAAATTTGTGAAAACGTTATGCAAGCATGGATAGTTTTGGGTCTGCTGCATGGTATCTTCACTACTAAAATTATTTTGAACAGCAAATTTTCCAGTGGAGGAGGGTTGTTCTCTGAAACCACTATAAAAATGTTTCAAACAGATTGTATATAACATATCGTCTAACATCTCTCTTTCGACACACAACACCTAATAGCTAATTGAAAAAAATTGTTAAGAACTTAATTAAAAAACTACAAGTCTCAAATATGAAAAAATGCGCACAAAGATGGAAGCCTTAAAAGGCAATTTGAATTCATAGGGTACAAGTTTGGAAGGTGGTATATGAACTATATCTAAGTACCAAAATTTAAACCCCTAAAACTTGGACAATTATTAAACGCATAACTTATTTTATACATGACGATCTTAAGCATGACTGATTTTTTACAAAAACTTTAAAATTATGAGTGAAAGGCTCCTATGGCAAAAATGTCCAAGATTTGGAGGTCGAGCGAATGCTTTAGTATGCATCAAAATGTCCGGCACTTTGATCGTTTATAAAACACCTTCTAAATTTGCACCCTATGAAGCGCAAGCCATTTTTAAGTGATTTTCAAAAACAACTCTCTTGCACTCCTAAATGTACTTTTCAAAATAATTTTAGCATAAAGTTTTCACATGCATAAAGTTTTCAAAAATGATATGTATTTGTAGTTTTCAGACATTTTCAAATTGTGCAGTTTTTTATACACCCTGCATCTGCAGATGGTCTGCGATATCATTAAAAATAATACCACTCTTGTTGTCATTAAGATCTTCCGGGTTATTGGTAAAAATGGTATCGATATAGTTGTTAGCTAGTGCGGCAGTGTGGTGAGTAATTCTTGTTGCTTTAGTGATTAGTGGAAAGAATCCGAATATGTAAGTAATTGTGCAACAAATTGATTTGCATAATCCCAAGACTCTGACTCTAAAAGTTCAATGCTAAAATCTCCCATAACGTAACAGAGTTTATTTTCACTGTTAATTTTTCCTAAAATTTCATTCCTTGTATTTTTAAATGTGCCCTAATAAAAAGTGCCGAATACCACTCGTTTTGAAGACTGAAATCGTGCATAACGATTGTAGCAGAGCTTTTCCACATATGTGCAGTCCTCAGTCTCTTGATGTTTCAAAGCAATTATCCTTTTTTTTTATCAATTATGGAAATCCACTTTTATGTGGGGGCTGTCTTTTTGACAACCCGCAGTAAAGGGATACGACAAACTTTGACTGAAAATGAACGTTTTCTATTTGTTACTTATTTCTTATTTTCTACTTTTAACCTATAGGTACGAAATAATGACAAATTGTTGGAAAGTTGAACCAAGCGAGAGACCCACATTTGAAGATTTGCACGAATCCCTTAATGCCATGCTAATGGGTGATGAGGTATTATTTATCTTAAAAGAAATCATTCACTTCATATTAAAACATCATGCGGAAAATTAAACAAACAATGCTGTCTGCTTTCTCATGACTTTGTTTTCTTGTAGTAACATGGTTAATGTGAACGCGAGAGTGGATTACGCCCTAAAAAGCCGTATTGCCCCCGTCTGAATAGCTTTATTTCTGATTCGGACGAAGCAGAAATTCGACGTTTAGAGTGAAAAAAAAGCTAAGTCAACGCATCAAAGCGGCATAAAGTAAACGTTTTAAAAAAATTTTCCAATGTTCCGAACGCTTGAACAAATAACACTATAAAACGACAGGAGAAAAACGGCAAATTAGTTGTCAGAAGTTTTAGGTAATTTATGTTTTAAATTAATGAAAACTATAAACATGAGAACTTACTTGAACATTTTTGGGAAAAATGGACGCAACATAGGCTAAGGCTCGTCAAAGCTTTCTTAATTAATTTTAATGCAAATAACAGATTTTCCAATTATGGTTTAGGTACTTGTTATTCACTTTATCTCAATACTCAAAATAGCTGCATGCTTTCATGTACCTGTATGTAGCAGATGAAAATTAAGTTGGTCTAGAAACGTAGTTGCCTTTCTATATTTATATATCAATGTTAAGTTGTTTCTAATTTTGTATAGAGCGCGGATACCGAAACCATATTTGATCTTTCAATCACAAAAAATAATCAAATAATACAGAACTCTCGAAATATTTTTGGAAAGTAAAAGAAAACAAACAAGATTTCGACATAACTTGGTTAGTACTAAAACACACTTTTTCTACGGGAGGATCAAAAAGTTGTAATTAACAAAAAATCGGAAAAGTTTCGACCTGTAGTCATAAAACGAAATTCCAACTAAACAACGATAGCAATGGAAGGAATGCATGTATTGTTTGATGCCCACACGCCCACGTTTCCGACTGCAAACATTTATTTATCAATAAGCAGTCCATTTTTCAAAATTTGGCAGCCACCTGATTTTTCTTGAATAAAACAGGCTGTTGTGGCAACGTTTTGAGGTAAAATTATTTCATTTACTTATTTATATCTTTATTAGAAATCGTACATCAATATCACGCAAGTGGTTGGCGAAGGAACACTGACAACGACAATGGAACCAAGAAGCGTTTCTACTGGAGATGGGTCTGAAAATGCATGACGAACACAGCAGTGTGATAAGCAATTTTTAATATAATTTTATAATATAGCATTTGTAAATTCTGAACGCTGATTGGCTAAGAGCCGTGTTGATATAACTCCATGTCAACACGGGAAATTTTCCGCCGCTTGTAACACGGAAATTGTTCTTATTCTTCGGGCTTTTGACATTGCTATATTAAAAAACAAATATAAAACATTTTTTCCGTATTGATATATAGTTATATCAACACTCGTGGAAATTGGTAAAACTCGAAATTGTGTGAAAACACTCCGCCCTTCGGGCGTCGTGTTTCCACACAATTTCTCGTTTTTCCAATTTCCACTCGTGTTGATATAACTGTATATCAACACGGAAAATGTTTTATATTTGTTAAATATTAGTTTACTTTTCCACACTTCTAAATATTCTCGGCAGTTAAATGAATCTATAAGTAATTAATATGCTTCGAAGACAATAAGCAAGTCTTAA